ATGACAAAGCGCCCACGTATAGCACCGGGCTAAAAAGGCACGGGCACGCGCTCGCGCACGGGCGCTTCCCGACGCCCACCGCGCCACAGGGCCAGGCGATCCGCGCCGAGGCGACCGTCGACTGAGCGCGCGGCACGAGCATTGGCAGACCAGAGGAACGGACGGAGAATTAGCGGCCGCGCGCGCGATGCTCAGCGGAGCCACTTGCATGGGCGACGCGCTCTTACTCCGGCAACCGCCGAGGGAAGTCTCGCAGGAAGGCCCGCCCCCATCCGCGCTCGAAACCCTCCGGAACACACGTCCGCAGAGACGCGGGGCATCGAGGCCCTCGCTCCGGCACGCAAATAGATCTTGCCGGCGGCGCGAGGTCGCTGGAGCGCACGGGCCCGCGCGCACCCAGCGGCCGCGGCGGCGCAAGCGGCCCGCGCGCGCTCTGGATGGCCCCAGTTGAGAAGTCCGCGCTGCTCTGACGGAGCGGGGCGCCTCAGTCTCCCCGGCAGCGGCGGCGCCGCCCGGCCGCGCGGACGTCGCGCCGCTTGGGCCGCCCGCCAATCCATGCCAGCCGCGGCCCGAGGACTTTCCATCGAATAGCGCTCGCACTGTCGCCATGCTGACGGTTTACGTTCGCTCGCGATTTCCATTCGCACGCCGCTCGGAGACGCCCCGTCGAAGAGACGCCCGTTGAAACGCGGAAAATGCAATAGGCAAATTCCCGATCTAGGGGGGGGGGGGGGGGCGAGGGCAGCGGGGGGGGAGGGTCGCTCTCGGCTGGCCCAGACAACGGCCCCCGGCTACCACCACGCATCTCGCACCACCGGGAGCAGGGGCTGGGGGCGCACGGGAGTTCTGGCAATTGCGAGTTAGAATGCAAGGCGAAAAGCATTCACTTCGCGCGCGCAGAAAACAGGACGCCACGTGCACGCGGAGTGATTACATGAGAATTGGAATAATTATGCGGGTTCCTCGGTCGCGAAATGTAGGATTCTGGCAGCAGCTTGCAGGCCTGCGTCCGCCCTAGGAATGACGCTTCGGCCCGAAAAAATGCTGCCCCTCTGTTCCACTGGCGGGATGCCGCGCCGATGCCAGCATCGCACCACACTGCGAGATCCCGCTTCCATAGCTGCTAGCCCGAAAAGAAACGAGAGGACCATGCCGACCAGCATCGCGGCGAGGCCACTGGGCACGCCAGCAGGGGGCAGGGCCTCGGCCTCCTCTGCGCACGGCCAACCTGCGAAACGGCGCCGAACTGCGCGAGGACAGCCTCTTTCTTAATGGGGTTGAGGAAGCAACTGCGGCTCAGGGGGCGCTCGAGAAGCAAGGCCGCGTAGGAGAGGGGCTCCAACTGGGCCCCTCGCGACTCCGCGCCGCCGCTCAATGCGAGACGCGAGTCTTCGCGGCGTCGCCCGCGCACGCGCTAAGCGAAGAGTGCTGCTCGATTCGTAGGCCCATCGCCGCCCTCATCTGGCGGCGAATCAACCATGCGCCAATCGTCCGCAACGCCCTCGACGCCCCGATGGAAGAACCTCGACGGACCGCGGGCCCCGCCTGGAGAGCTCCAACACGAAGCCCAGCGAGAGGGAACCCGTCGGGACCTTGGGCGGCAACGGCAGATCAGCGGAATCGCTATTCCCCATTTTTAACCTCCAGATGCTTCATGATGGCCAGATTCGCACTCGCCAGGTGGGCCCAGGCGGCACTGCCGAAGGCGTTGCCGATGTCTTCGCGGCCCCCCTATGTGCTGCAGCCCAACACGGCAGAGGCGCCAGCTCAAACTTTGCTGAATGATCATCGCTGGCTTCTTTCGCCGCCGGCCCGCCGCGCAGGCGCGGGCAAAGAGAGGCCCGCGGATTCTCTGATCAGGGTAGAGCCTCGTCGAATTGAAAGCCTTGCCGAACGGGCAGAAAACGCGCGCGGGCAGCTCAAAGTCGTCGGCGGCCCCGAGCCATGAGTGCCCAACGACAGGAGTCTGCCCAGACCGATGCAAACAGCGAACAAACACTTTCAAATCGCACCCGGCCCACGTCTGGTCGACCCCGGGGCCCTCGCACCCCAAGCGCCGGAACCTCTCGGAAACCCTCCAATTGGGGCGCAAGAGCATCTAGACAAGCCCCACGGCGAGAAACCGCGGGGGGGCTGCCCCCCTCTTACAAGACCAGCTCCCCGAAGATACCTGGACGTGAATTGAATTCCTCGGTGGCCCACTGGAGCCGCTCGCCCGCAATGGCGCGCGCGATGTCTCCCGCGTGGAAATCCGCGGCTTCCTGGAACCAATCAATAAACATTGCCTGGAGACCTCCCTGGAGCCTAGCTTCGGGGCCCTCACAGCAAAGGATGGCCACGGCTACAAATCCGAAGTTGCGCCTCTTGGGGCCAGTGCTCCTCGCGGGAAGAAGTCTTGGCCAGCCAGCATCTTGTGCTTTGCGATCCCGCGCGCGAGCCTGGATGAGTTCGTCGATTGTTTCCTGTCTCGGTTGCACCATGTACCTCCGACGCGTCTTGCGGAACGCTTTCCTGCTGCCTGGAGCTCGCGAGCGATGCTGGCCACCTCGCAGGCACGCGCCCCTGCCCCGAGCAGTTCTCTGAGCTGCCGTCGCCGACGGATAGGCCCTTTAACGCGACCTGCTCCTTCCTGGTCGCCAGCCGACGGGGGCGGGCACTGCATCTGATATCTGGGCCCTGCCTCCCCCTTCACTTGGAGCGAAGAAGCCCAAACCCTAATGGAGTGTCGGTTCTACCGCTTGAACCGAACCCATCCGTCGTGGTCATCTGAAATACGCCGCTCAATTCTTTGAAGGACGTCCATGAGCGCATTTCGCCCCACCTGGCGCTGAGTTTGACCGAATCCAAGCCAGGGGCGGTCGAAAACCTGGGCGGGCAGCCCAAGCGTATCAGGGAAATAATAAGCCAGCCGATACGCGCGATACGATAGAGTGAAGAACTCGTCCCATCCTCCTCAAAAGTCCTCCTGTTCGCGCCGCGGGTAGTGCGCACCTGGGTATGATGATGCAGTCGAGCTGGCCGCCCTGCCCTTTGGCATTGATATATGTCGGTCCGTATCCACGATGTGCGCTGAGGACTACCATGTCAAGCATGTCCAAGAGCGGCACCAGGGCCTCCGCCAAGTATCTCTGTCGTGATGTGTCGTGATGAGGCCTTCTATGTCTACTGTCGGCTGGTCGCCTCCAGCTTCGCGAATCCAAACCCCGGGCTGAAATCGGCACAGAACATTGGAATTCGTGCGCATTTCCCCACAAAAGTAGCGATCGTAGCCGTTTGATGATGCAATCACAAGCCTGATAATTTGCTTTAAGCCGACTGGCCTTCGAAGGGACGGGAGGGAACTACACTGAGACCACGGCGATGTCGCAATGCGTGCTGCGCGCTCTAAGAGCAACTCCTCGCCCAGCTGCTGGCGGGACCCAGGTCTGCACAACTGAACGTATTTAGAGATACGGGCCCAGAACGATGGCGAAGCCACATGATTTGTTGCTGTGGAGAAAGGGACCATCCAGCGTCGAGGCACCATCTAGTACCTGCCGCGCGCCATGTTGCAATCCCTGCTGGTCCGTAACTCTGCGATCCAATGCAAGTCGAGCAACGGAAATCAGCATTCTGAGAAAGGCCGGCGACGTCCTGCAACCGATCAGAAGTGCTGGCATACGAAGAGTTGAATCGAAGGATACTTCGGGTGTGCTCGCCCCCGCCTCCCCCCCAGCGCTGCAGTCATGATACGGATAGCCGAGACTATAAGTGTCACCGTGAGCGCTGTGCCCATCCGCCTGGGGGACCAAAGGGGACACGCTGCCTCGCCGAACGAGCGCCGAAGAGGGAGCATCAAGGGCTATCTTCGATTCGGTAAGGGGAGTGTGGTGGTCCAGCCCCGCATACCCGGCGCTTGGAGGAGGAGGAGGAGGAGCAGCAGCAGCAGCAGTGCAAACCCAAGACTCATCAAGCGTGTTGGAAGAAACCCTCCCTTCCAGATCCCTCTTCATATGACACATACAAGAACACATTTCACTGAGGGAAGTGCCCCATTGGGAGGCAACCCTGTGAAGATCCTGAAGCGTGCCAAAATAACATCCTCGGGACTCCCACGAATCAACTTGACAGTTACGTCCTGACGATCCTGAAACGCGCCAGAACCCCATGTGTGGGACTTCAACACCGTGAATCAGCATGGCGCCCTGGCAACCCTGTCTCGTTCTAGAATACCATGTCTGGAACATTGACTTTAGGAACCCGTGAAACTCTTGTACGTGTTCAAAACAAATGTGCGCGGCGCTCAGGCGAGAACCACACTTTGAAAAACAACCGCCCTCAACCTGTGAAACTTTTCGAATTGTTTAAAACGAATGTGCACACCACTATGGCGAGGGCCATGGAACACCGCCAGACTTCAATCCGTGAAGCCCTTGTAATTTGTTGGAACGAATGCGCGCGGCGCTAAGGCGAGAGCCACATTTTGGAAGAAAAGCAAACGCCCTCAATCCGCGAACTCTTGCAACTGTTTAAACGAATGCGGGCGGCGCGAAGGCGAGAGCCACATTTTGAAAACCGCCCGCCCTCCATCTGTGAAACTGTTGCCAATGTAAGCCTCAAAAATATTAATTGTGAGGAAGTTCATGCGAAACGCCCGCCCTTCCGGCTCGCCTCGGGGTGCGACAGGAAAAAGTTATCTATAGGAAAAAACGATGAGGAGGAGGAGGAGGAGGAGGAGGAGGAGGAGGAGGAGGAGGAGGGACGAGGAGAAGGAGGAGGAGGCTGCAGGCTTCACTCGAAGGGATGAAAAGGGCGAAGGGGAGGAGCGAGGAGGGTGAAGAAGGGAGGGAAGAGGGAGAAGGAGGTGGAAGCAGGAGGGAGGAAGAGGAGCAAGAGGAAGAGGAGGAGGGACGAGGAGGAGGAGGAGGAGGAGGAGGAAGAGGAGGAGGAGGAGGAGGAGGAGGAGGAGGAGGAGGAGCAGCAGGAGGGAGGGCGGAGGGAGGGCGGGGGGCTCGCGGAGCCCGCAGAAGAGCTGGACGACCGCGAGCAGCAGCTGCCCGGCCGAGGGCGGCAGCGCCCCCGCTGCGCCCTCGGCCGCGCCGGTCGTGCAGCCCAGGCCCACGAGCACGGCGTCCCAGGCGGCCAGGGCGAGGCGCCATGTGGGCAGGCCGGGCCCCTCCAGCCTGCAGTCAGCCCGTAGACTTAGGGCGCACGAGAAGGACGTAAGGGCCTTCGAAGGCCACGGCGGCACTTTTGCGGGCGGGGCGCGGCCAGCGAAAGCGGCCAAGGATGTGCCGAAGGGGAAGGATGCAAAGGTAGACTTGGAACGTCGTTCACCCTTTCTGTACGGGTTGACTGTGATCGGCACGAGGGGAGCGGGTGTGCTGGAGGAGAAGGGTCCTGGAAATGCTTCGCCATGCGAGGACCCCGCCCACACGGGGCGGTCCACGAGCCCCAGGGCCGGCAAGAGAACGGCCTGGAATGAGGAACTGGTCTGTAAGAAAGCCCCAGGGTCTTATGGGGGGAACAAGGGTACCGACACCGCCATTCTCTGGGCCTCTCCAGGGGTGCATTTTGGCTGGATGTTCGAAGAGAATACAGCCGTGGCGACGAGAGCTCTCCAGGACGAGCAGCGGTATCGATAAATGTTCCTCCTCTGAGGACCAGCGTACGACCCGTAAACCGCAGCCTCTGCGCACCAGGGCGCGACTCTCGGGGGCCGAAGGGAGGCCAAACCCAAGCACGCGAACTGTTGCTGTCGCAACGCGCCCCAAGATCGCGGGGGACCCCACTCCGGCGAAGGGCCAAGCCGGCCAAGCCCACTTCCTCCGTGGCGGGCCTGAGCTGGACCCTGCGCGCCGGGGCGCCCGCCTGGCCGTCCGCCCCGGCGCCCAGCAGCAGGCCCCGGGAGCCCGCGCGCAGCACCGTGCAGGCGGGCAGGTGCCACCAGGGCAGCAGCAGGCCGTGCGCCCTCAGGGCGACCTCCTCCGTGTACACCGCCTCCCGCAGCAGCACCCGGGTGGGGGCGGGCGCCTCGCCCGTGGCGCCGGGCCCGGAGTCCGGCGCGAGGTCGGCGACGTGCTGGACGACGCTGTACGGCAGGAGGATGGTGTCCAGCGGGGCCTGCACGAAGGCCAGCGCATGCACCGAGCTGGCCAGCCCCGCCAGCAGGCCGAGCAGCTCGGGGAGGTGCATGGGGAACCTCGGGGAGCCAAAAAGGATACCGAGGCTGCGTTTCTGATCAGAAGTTTGACGCGAATCCAGCGGTGGCGACGAGGGCCTCCCAGAGGCCCCCAATAACCAACACGAGACAAGGGCAGCGGTATCGTTACCTTTCCTCCTCTGGAAACCCAGCCAGCCAACCGTGCAGCACCTGGAAGCACCTCTTCTGAGAGGCGTAGTCCGAGGTCCAGAAATACTCCGAGGCCTCCACCTGAGCGACGAAAACAGACGAATCTGAACCCAGAAGACATGGCGGCCTTACGCCGAGGCTGGCGCGGGCCGCGAGCACCGCGTGCAGAAGCGGGCGCTTACGCGCGGCCTGACGCGGAAGCTTACGCGCGAACGTCCGCGCAATCGGCCAAGTGTTACGTGTTCTCGAGGATGGGCAGAACCCCCTTCAACAAAACGCCCTTGTGCGAAAGCTGCCAGGGGCACTCCACGTGCGCACAGCACCGCATTACGAGTGCTCGCCAGCGGGGTGGCTAATCGACGTCCAAAAACAACCGACTGTATCTGGCGACACACGCGCCGATTAGCCAAGCAAACTGAGGACTGCACTGGCACACTCGAATGCCAATGCCGAATGAACTGGTGCAGATTTCATCAGTCGACTTTTCTGGGTGGGCGTTCCCTCTGGGGAAACCAAAAGGTACCGATACCGCTGCTTCCCGGACCTCTCACAGGGTGCGTTAAGACCAGAGTTTCGAAGCGAATCCAGCGGTGGCGACGAGCGCCTCCCAGGAGGCCCAAAAAGGTGACAAAAAGAGGCAGGGGTAGCGGTATGAGCCTGTTTTTCCTGTACTATTCGCAACAGGGGGCGTGATCGGGGGAGGGAGGGGGGCGGGAGGTCGTCCCCTCCGATCACATCACGGCGGGGGGCCGCCGGAAATCATGGGGAATCACCGAAGACTCCGAAGAGCAGCATCGCAAACGTGGGCAAGAGTGGCGCGGCGTGATCCGGGGGGGGGGGGGGAGGGAGAAGGCCGCTCCTCCGTCGCCCGCCTGTCCCTCGAAGACTGCGCTCATGAGCGTGGACATGGCCGCGTGGACGCCGCACAGCGGCCCCTCCAGCCGGAAGCCCTCGGCGGCCGCCGCCAGGAGGCCGTGGAAGGCGGAGCGCGCGGCGCCGTGCTGCCTCCGAGCACCCGCCAGTCGGAAGAAGCAGGCGGAGGCGTGCGGCAGGAAGGCGGGTAAAGTGGGTCGGGTTCGGGCCCGGCCAAAGTTGGCGGCGAGCGTGGGGGGAAAGCGAGAGGGGGCGGGGCTTCTCAGAAGACTCGGAAGTCCCCCAGCCTTGAAAGAAGTGCTCTGGACATTCCCCGAAGACAAAGAAACCCTCTCAGAAGGCGCGAAGGCTTCTGAGAAGTCCTGTCGCCTGCTGAGAAGGCCTTCTCCTTCTCACTTCGCCCCCTCGCTCGCCGCCGACAAAGAGTAACAACAAAAAGCAACAACACATGTCGATTGCTGAAGCAGCGGTGGAAGTAGATTGGGAGCTGGGAATCCAATACTATACCTACTTGCAACGACCAGTGTGTAAGAGAAACTGGTATGAATATAAACTGTCGCAGCTCCACGAAGATTTCTCGGACCTGCGCTGGCCTACGACGAAGACAAGGCAAGAACAACATCGGACCGAGGTAAGTCGGAGATCTCTGAGAACCACCGGTTCTGGAGGATGGATCGGGCGCCGCGGCCGTCTCAGAGCGTTCTGCGACGCTCTGAGAGCGTTCTGAACTCCGAAACTATACATCCCTTATCCCTGTCGTAGCCACGCCCGCGCCAGCGGCGGCGCTGGTCCAAGAAATACGCGCGGAGCTCAGGAAGTTTATGCCCATGCCGTCTTTTCTTCTTCGATGCCTGTTCGGGGCGTCCCTCAACAGAAAGCCGCGGTCCACGATGTCCCTGGCGGCCTCACTGAAGAGGCGGGAGGACCTCAGCAGGGAGCTGCTCACGATCCGCTCGAAGCCCAGACCGTGCTCGTCGCGGTAGGCCTGGGGCATCGCGGCCAGCATGGAGGCCCAGCCCAGCACCCCGAGCGAGGCGAGGCGGGCGCAGTGGACCAGGTCGGGCCGCGCGCTGCCGCGGGAGGCGCCGACGTGCTCGCACACCTCGAGCCAGCCCGTCGTGAAGGCGCGGTGGAGCCGCCTCGCGTCCTCCGGGCTCCCCAGCAGCGGGTGCTGGCCCTTCCGCCCCCCCGCGTGCTCGACCACCGCATCCTCCAGGGCCAGGCCCTGGAGCAGCACGGCCAGGCAAAGGTCGCCCACGCGCTGCGCCCTCGCGCACACCTCCGGCTCACCTGTGGGGGTCCTGAAACGCTCCGGCAACAGGCCGTGCGGCGGCATCGGAGACACGAGGGGTCTCAACGTTGGGCTCGGCCCGTCTCCGCACCGCTGTGGAACCTCGGAGGCCCCAGTCGCCCGAGACGCAGAGGGTCCCGAAAACGGGGTGCGGCCCCCTGGTCGCCCAGCAGCCACCCGTGCGCGTGCGCGCAGCGCCGGAGGGAGCCGAGGCAGCGCTGCCGGAGGAACTCGTCGGCCATCTCCGCGAGCCGGCCGTGCGCGGGGGGGCACATCTCGGGCCGCAGCTCGGGATCGTGGAAGGCCAGCAGAAGGCACTCGAGGAGGCAGAGCTCCAGGTCGAGGCCCTCCCGCACGCGGCCCAGCACCTCTGCGCGCTCGGGCGCGGCGGAGGTGAACCTGGGGCCCGCAGAGATCCCCAGGTATGCGTGCCACAGGTTCTGGACCAGGTCGTCCTTGGAGAGCAGCCGCTGGGCAAGCTCTCTGCACTGCGCTGACCACGGGTGGTTGTCGTCCTGAGCGGTGCGCAGTACGCACGCCACGACCTGAAAGGCCTCGCACTTCTCCGCGTGCAGCAGCCTTGCCAGCTCCTGAAGCGCGGCCTCCTGCCCCAACTCCTGAAGGGGATGGAGAAGGGGGGGGGCAGCTCCAGGGCGGAAACATCGCTGGAATCGCCGATGTATCGCCGATACGTCGGCGACGGGCCCGCCCCCGATAGCGAATCCGCACGATCCTGGGCGGGGTGGGCAGTCAGGCCCCTATCGGCGACCTGCGCGCGATCGGGGGCCGATGTTTCCCCCCAGAGCCCATCCCCGTTCCCGGTGGTTGTCGGGCCATAGCTCAGGCCTCCGGCGGCCGCTCGGGATGTGCAATCCAGGCTCCCCCAGAACGCTGCTCTCGGCGAGGCGCAGCTGCTGGACAGCGTCCAGAGGCTGGGAAACCGCCGAGATCCACCGAAAATGCCCGGACACCTCGAACCTCGAACCTCGAGGCTGGCTCCCCCCGTGAGCTCCACGACGTCCATCCTGTCGCCTTCGTAATGCAGCGCGGAGAGCTCGCGGAGCTGGTCGTCCGCGTACAGCTGCACGAGCCCCTCGGCCACCTCTGGAGGAAGAAAAACTGCCATAAGCAAAACTTTCGAAGCTCCGAGCGGAGTTCTCGGATCTGCTGGAACGGGGTGGCGCCAGAGGCGCCGTCAGGGAGGGGGCCCCAGCGCCGATCCCCGCGCGGAGCTCCTAAAGCATATGCTTATGCTATACCACAACGGTACCACAACGGTACCACAACGGTAGCTTATGCTGATGCTTATGCTCCCACGCGAAACACAACGGTACCACAACCACATCGCGAATCCAAAGGTCGCGAGGCAAACTGAGCCGGGATCACCGCACGAGCCGACCCAAAACAGGTAAACTCCTGCCATGAGCCTCTGGCCTGGATAACGAATCTACAATGCAATTCCATCTCCCCCGACACCTCGCGGCTCACTCCGAGGGCCTCCGCCGCTGCCTCCGCCAGCTCGGCGGCGCGCTGCGGCAGCGCACCCCCGATGCCCGCGCCGCCCACCGAGGGGGCCTCAAAGTGGCTCAGCGGCGCCGCCAGGCGAGCGCACAGCACCGGGTCCGTGAAGACCTGCGCAGGATTATCAGCAGCAGAAGTACGGCAGGCTCGTGTCGTGTCGACACGGGCGCTGGTTCCTGACATCGCGGGGATCGTTCGAGCGGCCGTTTCCGCAACGTCCGATCGTTCAACGTCGACCGATTCTGGGCCGCTGGTCGGCACGGCACGACACGACAGGGGACTTAAGCTAGGAGGGCCAACAACATTAGGGATAGGGGGTCTCTTTCCAGACGTCCCCGAAGGAAGCACCCACATGCTAGGGTCAGCAATCAAAACATGTCCTAAAATAGGCCACGGGTTTATTGTGCTATTAGGGTTAGGGGTAGTATTGTGCTCAATGACAGGAGGGCACCAGGTGTAAACCACCACCTTGTGCCTGGCCAGGGCCAACCAGGGTCCTTGCATGGTGCATACGCCCTCCTGGCCGAGGCCAGGAGGGGATGCACTTTGGTTGTTCTGAAAAACACTGGTGGCGTTTTCCACGTTTTCTATTGTTCTTCTATTGTTCGCTTCCGACTCGACCCTGACGCGTAAGAAACAGCACCCCTACCAAGTGGGCGTCTGGCAAGCGGCACTTTGATCACGAGAAACGGCGCTCTGCAAGCATCAACAAAAAAGAGGCAGGCGGGCCACGGGCCACTCCTGGACCCGAACGCGTAATTATCAAAAACTGCGCCCGACACCGACTACAACAATGGTGGACATCGAAAGAAAGCAAGAAAGCAACGCCCCCAATGATTTACCATCTCAGAGCTGGGCACCACTAGAAGCCTCCTAGATGGGGTCCGAGTAGATGGGATCGAAGGGTATCGAGGATGCATCGGCGATGCATTGGCGAAGTCGGCGATGCATTGGCGACGTCGGCGATGCATCGGCGAGGTCGGCGTGGAGCAAAGTGAGCCCCACATCGAGCCGCATCGGCGATGCATCGCCGATGCATCGGCGATGCGGCACGATCCTCCGACCCCATCCACTCCGACCCCATCTAGGAGGCCTAGAACCACCAGGTCACCACCCACCAAACCACCCCAACCCAACCCGAAGGCCTCAATTCGCCCTCCATTTCCAGTGGTGGGGGGTCGGGGAACGCTGAAAAACACATGGAACTCGTACCCCCCCCAACCCGAAATTCGAATCAAATCCGGGTCTTCGGGTTGGATTGGGTTGGGGTGGTCCAGTAGGTAGCCATCCGGGGGCCCAGCACTGGCCCGGAGGCTCCCCCCCCCCCAGGCGGAAAGGGGACCGCGTCCGCCTCCGCCGGGGAGCTGTCGCCCCGCTCGAGCCATGCGTGCCAGTGGCGCGCGCTCCGCCGGCACTGCGCCGCCAGCCCCCCCGCCATGGCTCTCTCTC